GTCATGAGATAGAAAGGACTAGATAAGGTTTTTTTTTGAGACAGAGTCTCACTTTGTTGCCCAGGCTAGAGTGAGTGCCATGGCATCAGCCTTGCTCACAGCAACCTCAAACTCCTGGGCTCAAGCGATCCTCCTGCCTCAGCCTCCCGAGTAGCTGGGACTACAGGCATGCGCCACCATGCCCGGCTCATTTTTTTCTATATTTATTAGTTGGTCAATTAATTTCTATTTATAGTAGAGACGGGGGTCTCACTCTTGCTCAGGCTGGTTTCGAACTCCTGACCTCGAGCAATCCACCCGCCTCGGCCTCCCAGAGTGCTAGGATTACAGGCGTGAGCCACCGCGCCCGGCCAAGATAAGGTTCTTAATCTGAGCTCAGTAGAAGAGATGGGTTTTGAGAGGGGTGTATGGGAGAAGGTCTTTGATGTTCTGAAAATGCATCAGGATTTTACGTGCATGTGCCTTTTTCTGGGGAAGATTCCAGAACTACCATCAGATGCTCAAGAGTCTGGCACAGAAGAGGTGAAGCCCATCAGCCCGGCACTGTAGGTCATGCCCCAGTCCCGCGAGGTCCCTGTTACCCTGTCTTTGCTTCCAGGCGCCTGGTGGACCGCCTGGAGACCATGAGGAAGAACGTGGCTGGGGACGGGGTGAACCGCTGCATACTATGTGGAGAACAGCTGGGGATGCTGGGCTCAGCCTGTGTCGTGTGTGAGGATTGTAAGAAGGTACTGTCACCTTCTCCCTCCTTCCCTGCACAGCACCTGCAGGGGCGCTAGTCCTACGCTCCAGCTTTGGGTGGCCCTGGGTCTTGGGGATGCAGCTTGGATCCTGACGGTTAGTTGCCAGGATATGATTTGTTTCTGGAATGCACCCATGCCCAGCTGTCTTCCGAGGTTGTCCTGATCCTGGTTCCTCCCCGGAAGACGCTCTGATCTCTCTGTCCCCTTAGAGCTGAGCTCTGTCCGGGACGAGGTAGGACAGGAGCTATGGTTGAGCCTGCAGGTATCCTGGCTGTGGCTTAGGAAGTTGTGTGTCAGTTTAAAGTGCATTCTAGGTGCACATTTATACATGTGTGTATGTGGAAATGCTTTCAGCATTCTGGTGCCCCGAAACACGAGACTTAGAAAGCCTCTATCTAACCAAGTTAGCATCACTTAGCTTCGAGAACATCTGTTCTTGAATCGGAGTTTCCCTGTGCTTTCTTTACCCCCCACCCCCTCCCTAAACTACCTGCACATGACAATTGCAGGACAACGGTGCAACTATTTTGGGGTCTGTGTGACTCCAGAGAATTCAGGTGAATAACCCAGAGACATCTATAATGTCGCTTGGCATCTCCTTCTTGGTGTCCCATTTAACATTAAGAATGAAATATTGGGAAAATCTTATCTACTCCAAAAAAAGTTGCATGTGGCAATCAACCAGAGAGTGAGAATTTTGCGGCGTATTAGGTTTTCCTATTTGTTTTAATTTCCAGGAAACTCACCCCAAAATATAATGCTCCATTACACAGTCATGGCATTTACCCAGATAGCTTCCTTCTCCCTGGGGAGTTGAACTTCTAGTGAGAGTCTAGGTTGTCTCAGATCCATTTTGCAAATAAAGAAGAAATAATTTGATGAACAAAAATGGATATATGGCCTTTCCTCTTAAAAATTATGTCAATGATCTCTTCTGTGTGGATGCTGAAAACTCAGATCCTGCAGGACTCTTGGGGAATTCCTTCATCTGGTGCTTGGAAATGACTCAAGTTCTTGTTCTTGGAACTCAAGTTCAAGTTCTTGAACTTGACTCAAGTTCAAGTTCTTGTTCTGGAACTTTGTTCTCACTGGCCTTGTTCATGGAAGGCAGTGCGAGGAAAGGAGAAGAATTCTGGGTCTTACAACCACCAAGAGAAAGGGGATGCATTACTACCCCTCCTGCCCCTTTCTCCAATCCCAGGCATCTCAGAGGATAGCTCACCTGAGTATTTGTTTGGCTGTTTTGTCCCCAGAATGTCTGCACCAAGTGTGGAGTGGAGACCTCCAAAAACCGCCTGCATTCTGTGTGGCTCTGCAAAATCTGCATGGAGCAGAGAGAGGTGAGTGGCATGGTCCCATCCTGCCCCTCGAGCACCCTCCCATCTGGGCCAGCTTTCTCTTCCTCCCTGGAATCAGGGCAACAGGGTGGTGCTCGGAGGCTGGGGGTCGTGTCACAGGTCTTGTGTATTAAGGGGCTGGTGTGAAAGGAACCAGCTCAGCCGTTCACACTGGCAGGATGACCTCTGAGTGTTTGGGTGAGTTTCTTTTCTCCTCCTCTGCTTCTGTGACTTTTCTCTTTACTTCTCTCCCTTCCTTCCTCCCTCTCTGTTCACTGCCCTGTGGCCTTTCTTCTTCCCTCATCCCCATTTCTCACCTTCTGTGTCTCCCTGTCCCACCATCTTTCCGTCCTCTTTCCCTCTGTTCCATGACTTGTCTCCACTCATTCTTCTTTTCTCATATTCTTCCTCTCGTTTGAGCTCTTTTCTTCCTTTCGTTTTTATCACCTTCTCCTTCTTGCTCCTCATTCTCTTGTTGTCTCATGCTCTGCACACCTTTCTCTCTCTACTTTCTCTTTACTCTGTCTCTCTTTCTTTCTCCCATGGCAGCCTTCTCTTCCATGCCCTGCTCATTACTTATTTTACCCCAATGAAGTCCTTTCTCCTTCTGCTAATTCCTGCACCACTCAGCCCTGCTGAGGACGCCTGCCTTTGAGACCGCGTCTCAAAGAGTTTGATAAGGTTGAAGTGTTACTTACAAAGCTCTGGGTAGAGCTAAGGGAAGTCAGCAAGGCTTGATGTCACCTCATCACCAGCAAAGGCAGGGCTGCTGTGACTACTCCTAAGTCCAAAGGGATGGAGGTGGGGGCAGCTACCAGACTGGAAGGCAGGTGCAGCCCAACAGGCGTGCAGTCACTGTCCGACTAGCGGGGAGGAAGCCAGGGAGATAAATGCCACAATCGCACTCTCTTCCTTGCTGCAAACTCCTGTGGGTGCTTCTGACCGCATAAGCCTGCAGCCAGAGATCAAAGAAGTCCGGTTACTGCAGTCCACACTGGGCAGCCTCCTGGGACACAAAGCAGGGTGGAGAATGGATTGAGGGGCAGTGGAAGATGTTCAGCACATCGTCCTAAGTGTGCGGCCCTGTTCTAACCCACAGGTCTTCGGGAAGTTGTGGGTAGATCACCTTCTTTACAACCAACCAATGCCGTGGAGAGCACACCACGTTTAAGAGATGGGAGACTTGGCAATGAGTTTTCATTCTTCCATTCTCCATCTGTGTCCTGTTGGATGAGTCCTTAACAGTTCTGATATTCAGCTTTCTCCATCCATAAAATGGGCACACTCATCGAGTTTTCAGGGCCAATGTGTAGAATAGATATGGACTGTGCAAGGCTGTGTACTGGTAAGAAAAGCGTGCCAGGCAGGGAGCAACTACAAACATCGACGCACACGAAGGCAGGTGCAGTAGTGCTCGGCTGCCACGTCTTCTTCACCCCTTTCCTCTCCTTCCAGGTGTGGAAGCGTTCTGGAGCATGGTTCTTCAAAGGCTTCCCCAAACAGGTCCTCCCACAGCCTATGCCTATAAAGAAGACCAAGCCCCAGCAGCCTGTGAACGAGCCTGCCGCCCCTGAGCAGCCTGCCCCTGAGCCCAAGCGCTGTCCGGGCTCCAGCTCGAGGTAGGACAAAACAACTCTCTTTCAGCACCAAGGACAGCTCTTGGCCAACTGGTCTACCTGAAGGATGTCCTGATGCCATGTCTGGGTTTCTACCCAGTTGGTAGACAGTCAGCTCTGGACTTGGGTCTAGGACTCTTGGGTCCCCTTCACAGCCCATCACCCACCCTTATCAAAAGGGTAGCGGGGAACTTTCTAGCAATGCCCAGCTGCCAAGAGGCTTTGTTGTCACCCCTGGTGAATTGTAGTAGTACAACAGAGGTGGAAATTAAAATTAGGGATTGAAAGCCTCCCACCACCAAAACAATAAAAGTAAAAGAGGAATGCAAAGGACATTGGTGAAAGAAAATCACCACTACTATTGATGTTATCACTATTATCCAAGTATTATCATTAATTATTAAAAGAGAGAGGCGAAACAGTAAAAAAAAAAAAAAAAAAAAAAGCAACCACAATAAAACACATTTTAATTGATTTGATTAGACTACTAAGACTGGCCAGATAAAGTCCTTGCAATAATTTCAATTGACTCTAAGTGATAAAATCTGGTCTAAATGACAGTTCTGGTGTCAAGTGCAAACGGTGCTTCTGAAAGGAGGTTATAGCTAGAGGTCTCCAAAATTGAAGTGTCCAACTATACCTATGTCTTACTAGACATAAAATGACATCTCAAGGTACTCAGCACAGTGCCTGGCACCCAAGAAACATTCAACAAATGTTTTCTTCCTGACAAAGACACGAGCAATTTCTAGTCCTTGCAAAGAATTGCCATGTTGGCGAGATACACTGCATTCCTGAGCAGTCCCCTGTCTCCACCCCTAATGGATGCTTCTTCCTGGTTAAGCATCACCCCCTCTAGGCTGAGAAGATTGTGTAGCTTAACTGTTGTTTTCTAAGCCTGTGTGTGCTCATATGTGTTTGTGCATGCAAAGGAAATAATGTGGAATTGTAAACAGATCAGAGCGGAGCTTGGGAGGAAGATTTTAGTTTTTTATTTAATAAAAATATTCTTGGGAGTGGTGGATCAGCCCTTTCATGGGCTTCTTAAGTAGTTGTTCTCCAGACATCAGAAAACCTGTACCCCTCATCCTTCCTCTCTCTCCAGCTGACACGGAAGACAGGAGGGCCCCAGGTCAGAAGACGGGTGAGTCCTGCTGACTGTTTTGTTCTTTGGGACAGGAGTCGTTTCATCCCACTCCCTCATTGTGCTTTCTCCATTCAATTCATGCTTTTCCTTCCAGGCCCTGACCTGGCCTCTGCTCCTGGGCGAGGCAGCTATGGGCCTCCCGCGCGCAGGGCCTCCGAGGCACGGACGAGCACCTCTGGCCGGGACTCGGAGAGCTGGGACCACGGCCCCAGCGGGGGCGCTGCGGACTCCGGCCGGAGCCCAGCAGGTGAGAGAGGTGGGCGAATCCAAACAGGCCTCCTGGCTGAAGAGAATCGGACAGGACAAGGAGGATGGTGTCTTCATTTATTTATTTAGTCAGCATTTATGGAGCGCCTACTGTGTGCTATGCTCTATCCTATAATAGATGCTAGTTCTAGTCTATGGTAGAAAAGACAGGATTCAGAAACAATTCTCGTTCTACTCACTTCCTCTTCTTGTTGGCAACAGAGCTGGGCACATGCCTTGTTGTTCATCTGCTGCCCAGACCTGCTAATGAACATGTGGTTTGGATGGACAGAGAAAGACGAATTGCTCAATCTGCAACGTCTTGAAATATTTGTTAAGTGCTTACTGTGTATCAGATCTTCTCCCATGCTCTCCCCATATATTATCTCATTTAATCCTTGCCACAGCCCCAAAGTTGAGGTATAAGACTTTTATTAGTCCCATTTTACAGATGGGGAAACTGAGGCTCTGAGGGGCAAAGCCACTTACCCCAGGTTACATAGCTGATAATTGGTCAAAATGAGCGTTAAACCCATATCTGTCCAACCTCAAAGCCTGTACTTTGTGTTTTTCTCTTCCAGAGGTGAGGTTTTTATTGGCAATGCTTTCTCAAGTCATTTTTATTATTATAAAACATATCTCACATAAAACTTACCATTTAGCCATTTTAACGTGTGCAGTTCAGTGGCATAAAGCACGTTCACGTTGTAACGGAACCAGACCATTGGCCATCTACGGAACTTTTTAGTCATTCTAGAATGAAACTTTGTATCCATTAAGCAATAACTCCTCCATCTTCCCTCTGTCCATCCCCTGGTAACCACTATTTTTCTTTCTGTATTTATCATTTTGGCTACTTGAGGTATCACATATAAGTGCAATCCTATATGTTTGTCCTTTTGTAATTGGCCACAATTGGCTTATGTCACTTAGCATAATGTCTTCAAGGTTCATCCAGGTTGTAGCATCCATCAGAATTTCTTTACTTTTTAAGATGACATGACAGTCCGTTGCATGTATATGCCACATTTTGTTTTTCTATTTATCCATCAATGGGCATTTGGGTTATTTCCACATATTGGCTCTTAAAGATAATGCTGCTATAAACATGGCATAAAAAATCTGCTGAAATCCCTGCATTTAGTTATTTTGTGTATACATGTAGAAGTGAAATCGTTGGATCATATGGTAATTCCATATGTAACATTTTGTGGAACTCCCATCCCGTTTTCCATGGTAGCTGCACCATTTTTAGATTTCCACCCACAATGCACAAGGGTTCCAGATTCTCCACATCCTCACCACACACTTGTCATTTTCTACTTTTTGTTTTTTTAAACATTAGTCATCCTAATGGGTATGGGGTGGTATCTCATTGTGGTGGTGTGGTTTCAATTTGCGTTTCCCTAATGATCGGTGATGTTGAGCATCTTTTCGTGTGCTTATTATGGCCGTTGGTGTATCTTCTTTGGAGAATTGTCTGTTCAAGTCCTTTGCCCATTTCTTAAATTGGGTTGTTTATTTTCTGTGGTTGAATCCTGGGAATTTTTCATATGTTCTGGATATTAATGCCTTATCAGATATATAATTTATAAATATTTTCTCCCATTCTATAGAGATTTTTTCCCCACTCTGTTATAGTAGCATTTGATACATAGAAGTTTTAAAATTTGAACAAGTCCAATTTATCTATTTTTCTTTTGCTGCCTGTGTTTTTAGGTCATGGCTAAGAAATCATTGCCAGATCCAAGATTGTTAACGTTTCCTTTTATGTTTTCTTCTAAGAGTTTGATAGTTTTAGCTCTTATATTTTGCCCTTTGATCCATTTGGGGTTAATTTTTTGTATATCAAATCCTGTGCTCTTAAACTCTGTATCATTTCCCCCCAGAGGGAAAAGACAGTCACAGGACATGCCTGAACCAAATTTGGACCCCTGTTGTGCAAGAGTCAATGTAAATGTTCCTGTCATCTGTGAAGCTTCTAGCATCCACCTGCTGTACCTGGAGCTGCGTCAGTTGCCTCCTTCTCTGAGTCCCCAGAGTAGTGGCACAGCCCTTATCATAATATATTGCTTATCATTGTCTAAAACAGGTTATTAATAGAACCTGAATCTCTCTCCCTTGTCTAAATACAGGGACATGTCTCTCTCCATTAATTCATTATGTTCCAAATAGTTATGGAGCACCCACCATAATTTCAGCTCTTCCTCCTCATTTTCCAGCCCATACTAAGATTCCCAGTTGATTATGGGCTCTCAGATGTTTGCAGATTTGAGTTAATAGTTAATCATAACAGCAACTCAAGTTTAGCGAGCACCTACTCTGTCGTTAAACCCTTTGCATGGGCTATAGCATTTAATGCAACCAACCACTCTTTTTAGGTGGGTGCTATTGTAATCATCCTCACTTGATAGATAAGTCAAAGAGAGGGTGGCACAACAACAACAAAAACCCACAACTTGCCCAAGGTCATATGGAAATAAGGGCAAGGTGGAAACCCCGTCTACAGCATTGAGTTTTGAGGGTTCCCTGAGGTGGTGTTCAGGGCATGGTGCATTTGAAGAACTCAATGACTGTTGGTTATGATTGTTTTATAAACTCATTATTTCAGCATCTGTCTCCTTCCTGTGACTGGGTTGTAGGCTCCCAGAAGAAATAAGATGGGGCTTTGTCCATCTTTGCACAGGGCTTGGCAGTTGGTGAACATTTAATGAAAGGTTGTTGAATGAATGAGTGAGTGAATGAACTAACGAACAAGGACCCGGATGAACAAACAATTGGCAGTGCTAATGTAGGACCGTGGGACAAGACTTGATGATTTGTAAACCCCCAGGCAGAGGTGGCAAAGCACCCTTGGTCATGAGCATTCAAGCATCTGTCCAACAAAAAGATCTGCATTCAGGAAAGGTGGGATCCAGCCCATTGACGTAAGAGACAGCAGGGCTTTCCTCCCAGAGTAGCGTGCCTTCTGGGTGCCCCAAACTGCCACACGTATCATCTCATTCAACCCCCAGCGGCTCCATGGAAAGCCATAGTATGTAAGCGTCTCAGGCACGGACTCCAGAGACCAACTGCCTGAGTTCAAACCCTTGCTCTGCTACTAACCAACCAAGAGACATCGAGTGAGTGCCATAACCTCTCTGTGCCTCAGTTTCCCCATCTGTAAAATGGAGCTAATAAGGCACCCACCTCATGGGGTTATGAGTGTACAGATTAAGTTTTTTTTTTTTTTGAGACAGAGTCTCGCTTTGTTGCCCAGGCTAGAGTGAGTGCCGTGGAGTCAGCCTAGCTCACAGCAACCTCAAACTCCTGGCCTCAAGCGATCCTCCTGCCTCAGCCTCCCGAGTAGCTGGGACTACAGGCATGCGCCACCATGCCCAGCTCATTTTTTCTCTATATATTAGTTGGCCAATTAATTTGTTTCTATTTATAGTAGAGACTGGGTCTCACTCTTGCTCAGGCTGGTTTCGAACTCCTGACCTCGAGCAATCCTCCCACCTCGGCCTCCCAGATTGCTAGGATTACAGGCGTGAGCCACCGCGCCCAGCCTTAAGTAAATCCTTATATGTAAAGTCCCTGGCACAAGGTAAGCACTGAATAAATGTTAGTTCATCATTATTGTGAACTAGGTAGAGCTGTTGCCTCCGTAAGGCTTCTGAGGTCCAGAGACAGTGAGTGACCAGCCTGTCGCCCTATAGCTGCAGAGGGCTGGGGTGCGAAGCCAAGTCCGTCTGAAGGTAGAGACAGATTCTTTCCATGATAATACAATAACATGCTGAGCACCCTTCCTGTTCATATCACTGTATCTTCACCGCAACCCCTTGAGCAAGGCACTGTTCTCCCCACTTAACATTTGAGGAAACTGAGGCCCAGAGAGGATCGGTCACTTGTGCAAGGTCACATAGGTAGAAGCGGGATCCCAGAACTCGTGCTTTTTAACAACCGTGCCACTGCGGTGATGCGGCGAGCGTGAGTATTAAACCGAGAACACGTGGAGGGCAGGAGGAGCCAGGAAGAGCCGAGCGTGGGGTGGGGGCTGCCTCCCACAGACCCCGGGGGCTTCTCCCCGCCGCATGCGTGAGTGACACAGGACGATGGCTGCTTCCTCTTCTCGCCCCTGCAGGTTTGAGACGGGCCAACTCAGTCCAGGCCTCCAGACCCGCGCCCGGCTCGGTGCAGGGCCCAGTGCAGCCTCAGCCGGGGCAGCCAGGTACCTGCCGCTCGCTCACCGGCACCTGCCCAGGCTGTCACTCGGCCGTGTCCCCAATACCTGCCCCCGCCCCCCGCCACTTGCAGAGCTCGCAGCCGGGCTTTCTGCAAAGCTGTAGCCACAACTAAGCCCTGAGCTCTTCTAAGACCCGTAGAATAAGTAATCCTCTGGGCCGAGATGCCAGGCGGGAGGGGGAGGAGGCGGAGGGAGCGTCGTCTTGTCCGCCCAGCGGGAGAAGTGACGGTGCTGCACTCATCAGCGTCTCCGTCCTCGGTGTCACCAACCACGTCTCACCGAGGAGGAGCCGGCTGAGGCCCGGGAGTGCCACAGCACTGGGTCTGGGGCCCAGGCCCTTCTGACCCTAAAAGCCCCTTTCCCCCCAACGGGGCTGTTCCTGCAGCCTCAGTTGCCTCTGCATGTCACCTGCCACCCCGGGCCTGTGTCACACCTGTGAATCGAGGGGGAGAGGCGAGCACCCGGATGATGCTGCAGCCTTTCCTCTCTCCCCTCACTCAGGACCCCCGGGAGGCAGCAGACCCGGGCCTGGGCCAGCAGGGCGCTTTCCAGAGCAGAAGACAGGCAAGTGTCCAGCCCTCCCCGTCCCTCCCGAGCGGCCACCTCTCTCCTGCGTCCCTGAGACACAGCAGGGAGCTGCCAGGTCTTGACAGCCTGCACCGGGACCTATCTGATAAGATGTAGGCAGCCCCCTCATTCCAACACTCGGTAGTTCATAGTTCACCAAGATCAGATAGACAGAAAGTGCCAGGACATGTGGTTAAAAGAGTGCACACTGCCTGGGCTCAAATCCCTGCTCCTCCACTTCCTAGCTGTGTGACCCTGGGCAAGTTGCTTAACTTTTCTGAGCCTCAGTTTCCTTATCTATAAAATGGGGGAAATAGTGGGATCAACCTTACAGGGTTGTTGGGAGGATTTAATAAACCAATACACAGAAACCTCGGCACGTTGCCTGGAATGTACGAAGCCCACACTAAGCCGCAGTGACCACTACCTATGATCAACATGCATCACCATCACCAATCGTTGCCACAAGATATCTATTGCTTTATAATGTACCAGGCACTGTTGTTAGTGCTGCACATTTGCTCATTTAAAATAAATACTACTATCTGAGCGCCTTCAGATATTATAACTCCCATTTTACAGGTAAAGAAACTGAGGTTCAGAGACGTCAAGTAATTTGCCTCAGGTCACACAGCCAGGATTCAAACCCAGGCTGTCTGGCCCCAGAGTCCACACCGCTGATCAGGGTCCCCCAAGGTCTGTTTTGCCCACATTGGAATCAGCTCGAGGGGCTCATTTGAGACCCAGATTCCAAGACCCCCACGGCATGGCCCACGGAGCCTGGGTAGGGCCTGGGAACCTGCATTCTTGAAAGCTTTCCTGCGTGCTGTCGTTGTCGTGAAACAGGGATTCAGCTGCCCCTTCCTGTCCTCTTGTGTCTCTTCCCATCCCCCTGCAGAGGTG